TGCTCCTGCTCCTAGTCCTCCTCCTGCTCCTCCTCCTCCTTCTCCTCCCTCCTCCTCCCCCTCCTCCTCCTCCGAGGGCGCGCGGCCTGCCAGGCCTTGCTCCTAGAGTGGGCGGCGGCCTAGCGAACCTCGCCGCCCACAGAGTCCTCCTCCTCCCCCTCCCCCTCCTCCTGGGGAAGACTGGGCCGGGCGAAAGGGGGGGATAGCAAAGGGGGGATTTGAGAGTCAGCTCACGTAGCTGATTTTCCCGGCGCCTCGCGCCCTCGTGGTGGTCAGCCAGGCGGCTGGTTGCTGGTTCACTGCTTTCATGTATCAAGGAATGGGCCCGGCGGCGGGGCCGAAACCAGCTGCATGTAGCAGATGTCGTGACCTCCCCTTTCCCTATCCCCCCCTTTCTTTCGACCCGAGAAGAGAACGGGGAGCATGACCAAGACTGAACGCGGATGGAGTCGGCCCGTATCAGAAGGATGCGCGATGAGTATGCAAGGGCCTTGGACGCCCATTTCGAAGCCTTCCGAGCGGGGCGCGGCCAACGAAAGCGGCCAAGGATGGGCCGACGAGGCAAGGATGCAAGGGTATCATTGGGAAGGGTGCCCATCCTTGCTGTGCGGGTTGACTGTATAGCCAAGACTGAGCGCGGATAGATCGTTTCGATCTTGGTCACCGTCAATCTTGGTCAACGTCCTTCTGTGGATCCTCCTCGCGAACTGGCGACGGCCGACATGGACCAGAACCAGGATCGGAGTCGGCAAGATCATGCGGCATCTCTTCGCCGTGGTCCCCGTGTGGACCGGGCACAACAGGCACGACAGGCACACCGACCAGGCACAACGGGCACAACAGGCACGCCGACCAGGCACACCGAGGAGGAGGAGGAGGAGGACCCAGAGATCCGATGTCGTGATGTTTTCAATGCGGGGTCCCTGGAAGTCTCGACCCATTCCCCAGGACCCGAGTCGTTTTTGGACGGTCCCGAGGCCCAGCGAGGGCCCCTGGGGGCCGAAACTTGGGAAAAACCTCCGTCTTGATTTTTTCAATACGCTGGATCCCTAGGGAGGTGCAGACACACCGACCGGACATGTTGAGCAGGGACCGACCGTCCCGGCATTCCTATAGTCCTACCACGAAATGCTCTTAGAGCCCGAAAATGGTCTCAGAACAAGAACAATGCTCTTAGAACACAAGCCCGATGTGATAAAACCAGACAGACTCCGCCAGAAATGTTCTGAGAACATTTTGTGGAAACCACAAGAGGTTCTCAGAACATTGCCTGGTGGGGCGATCGGCGAGCCAGGACGCTTCGCCACTGCTTGAACCTGACACCTGCCCTCGACCGCGGGCCTCGGCGGCTGCGCGGCGGCGGCCTGCCGGGGCGCCACGGGCAGCGGCGGCGGCGCCGTCGGGGCCCCCGCCTGCGGCGCCTGCGGCGCCTGCGGCGCCTGCGGCGCCTTCGGCGCCGGGGCGGGCGGGGTCCAGCGGCGCGCTGGCGCTGGCGCTGGCGCTGGCGCTGGCGCTGGCGCTGGCGCTGCGCGGCGCGCCGCGGCGGGGGCACCCCGGGCGCCGCCCGCCGCCTCCTCCTCCTCCTCCTCCTCCTCGAGGAGGGCGCCAACTGTACACGCACACCGACCCTGGCCAGGCCCACGTGTACACCGAAGGCATGCCCACCGGCCCCGGAAGGCCCGTGTAAGTGCAGGAGGACAGGTATGCACGCACCGAGTATGAGGCATGGGGAGGCGCAGGAGTACGGGAAGGCGTGGCCAGGAAGGCACAGATGTGCACAGACCTGGGCCCGGGGTGGGCCTGGCCACGGTCGGTGCGTGTGTGCGTGTGTGTGTATACCATGAGATCCGACGTTGCAAAAAAAACTGCAACATCGCAAAAATCACGCCTGGAGACCCGGACATCGTCTTTCCGCGTCATTTTTCGAGCCCGATCGATCTGTGAGGGTCACCGGGCCCGAAACCAAGCGAAAACGCCCGTTGCAAAAAAAATGCAACGCCAGGATCTCAGGGTATAGCCACTTCGCGCCCCCCGATCCTCCCACACCGTCTCCTGCTCCGCCACAGGCGGCTCGCGCGAGGGCACCCGCGGCGCCCGCGCCGGCGGCTCGAAGACCGGCGTCGCCGCGGCCGGCGGGGGCTCCTCGTGCCGGCGCGCCGGCTCCGCGGGCACGTGGGCCGGCGGTGGGGCCTCCGGCGGCGGCGTCGCAGGCGCCTCCGGCGAGTCGCCCGCGCCGCCCGCGCCCTCCCAGGCGACGCCACCTCCCCAGGGCTCGCCCTCGCCGCCGCCCGCCCACTCGCCGAAGGAGGCCACGGCCGCGCCCCACGGATCTGCCGAGGGGTCCCAGGGCTGGTCCGAGCCGCCCCAGCTGGGGCTCGCGCCTGGGAACTCGGGGAAGGCGCACTCCTCGCCTCCGCGGTCCCTGCCTGCGCCGGCGCTGGGGGTGCCCAGCCCGCCGGCCAGCTGGGTGAGGTTCCACAGCCCTCCCGTGGTGGGCGATCCCGCTGGCGTGGCGCCGCCGGCGCGTATGCGCACCTTCTTCCAGGCCTCCGTGCGCTTCTCCGTCGGCAGCAGGGACTGCAGCGGCTGGCGCTGCTGGTCGAGCAGCTCGTCGTCGCCCCGGAGCACGCCCCAGACCCTGACCTCCGTCACGCTGAGGCCTGGAGCGGGGCCGAACTGCAGCGCGGCCTCCGCGGGCACCACTGGGAGCTGGGCGCCGGGCGGGCTACGACCCACCACCTCTCGAGTGGAGGACCGACTACAGAACTGATTTACCCCCAAAAACTACGAACTGATTTCCCCATCGAAGCCACGAAGAATACGTTGAGTGCTCGTGCATCTTCTGGAGACTCTGAGTACTGTTCCGTAGATTCGACGCGACAAGCAACACTGGGGTACATCAATTCTGCAGCCGAACCCCGACTCGAGCCTCGTGGCTCATCCAGACCTCCAGCACGGACAGGTCGGAGCGGAGCGCCACGTGCGTCCACTCGCCCTCCATCAGGGGCCCCGCGTCGGCGGAGACCAGCTGCGCCCGACCGGCGCCGCGCACCACGAAGCCCGCCGGCTGCGCGCGGTACGACCAGCTCAGCGCGGGGCCCTCGAGGCCGCCCGTGGACCTTCGACTGCACGCAACGGAGTGGCCCCAGGCAAAGAGCGACCTTTGCGCTCGCGCCTTCCGGGGGCCGCGGGGCCAAACCCGCCGCGCGCAGGCCGCTGCCGTCGCACCGCACGCGGCCATCTGGGGACCCCTGTGCCCGCACGCAAAGATCACTCCACCGAAAGCCCCCTTTTCCCTGAGATCCCACGTTTTTTTTTAATTGCTACATCGCAGAAATTCACGACCGGAGCCCCAGCTCCTATCTTTGTGCGTCATCTTCTCGAGCCAGATCGACCTGTGAGGGTCCCCGAGCCCGAGATCGAGCAGAAGCGCCCCTTGTGAAAAACTGGCAGCGCCAGGATCCCAGCGCTCTGCACAGCCGACACCTGAGGCGTGGCTTAATGGGGGGGTCACAAATGGGGGGGTCAGAAAAGGTCCCCTGTCGTGCCCCTTTCGGGCCCCTCCAGAGCCCCAGGGGGCTCGTTTAGGTACCGTTTGGGTACCTTTTCGGACCACCCTCGCCACCCCCCCATTGATGACCCCCCATTGCGCACTGTCCAAACCTGCTGAACAGCGTGAGCTCCCCGGGCGAGTTCGTGTCCAGCCGCACCCACAGCTCGACGGTCCAGCCGCGCGCCAGCGCCGCCGCGGCGCCGGGCTCCGCCACGCCGCCCGCGGCCTCTGCGCGGGCCGCGGCGAGCAGCCGCTCGGCCGCGCCGTCGCTCCTGGTGGGCCCGTTTTCCACCGCCACCACCATAAGTAGGAGAGGGAGGGGATCCTCCTCCTCCTCCTCCTCACCTCCTCCTCTCCACCTATCCTCCTCCTCCTCCTCCTCTCCCCTCCTCCCTCCTCCTCTCCTCCTCTCATCCTCCTCCCTCCTCCTCCTCCTCCTCCTCCTCCTCCTCCTCCTCCTCCTCCTCCTCCAACTTCTGGTGGTGGTGGTGGATGGAAAACAGGACCATCAGCTCCTCCCCCCGCCGACGAGGGCGAGCAGTTGCCTGTCGCGGGCCCCGGCATCCCCAGGGAGCGGCGCGTAGCTTACCGCGGCGCCGCCGCGCAGGGCGATGGCTCGGCGGCGAGCCCAAAGGGGGGGGAAGCGAGGAGGAGGCCCGCTCAACGGCGGCGGGGCTTCATACAGTCGGCCCTGATTGGACAGGACACGCGAGGGGACACGAGACCCTTCCGAGGGCCACATTATTGCCATGGGGGATGTAGGAGGCATGGGTCGCGAGGCACAGGACACAAGGGTACCCGAGGGGCACCCTTGACTTGGAAGGGTCCACCTGCTGCTAAGCAGGGCCGACTGTCGCAGCCCTCGAGGCCTTCGGAGAGGCTCCTGTGCTGCACCCTCGAGGAAGGCAGCAGGAGAGTCCTTGGAGAGCTGGAGGGCGCCCGAACCCTCTGAGAGGGCCTTCTCCTGCTCCCGTTTCCCCCCCTCTTCCCCAGACCCCCGACGTCGTGACTTGTTTCACACCGTCGACCCCCAGAGGTCTGGACCCATTCCCTGGGATCCGTTTTTTGCTCCCGGGGCCGTTTTTGTGAAGGCCCCAGGGCCCGACAAGGGCCACCGGAGGCCGAAAACGACGAAAAACCTCGCGTCATGATTTTTGTCGCTGCTCGAGGGGGTCTTGATGGGCCTGTTTTCCACCACCACCACCACCACCACCATAAGTTGGAGGGGGAGAGGGTCCTCCTCCTCCTCCTCCTCCTCCTCCTCCTCCTCCTCCTCCTCCTCCTCCTCCTCCTCCTCCTGCTCCTGCTCCTCCTCCTCCCCTCCGAAACTTGTGGTGGTAGTGGTGGTGGAAAACGGGCCCATCATGCTTGAGGGGGGCCGGGGTCGGTCGCCGCCGAGATAGCGTAGCTGGGGGCCAGCGCGGTGCCCCACTCGTCCGTGGCCTCCAGCGGCTCGTCCGCGGGCAGCGGCCCCTGCCACAGCGCCCCCTCCGCCAGGGCCCCCTCGCGGTGGCAGCCCCCGCTGTCGCGCACGGCGCGGCCGCCGCCGTCCGCGCACCGCCAGTACACGAGGGCCCCGCTCGCGAGGACGGTCGGGGGGCCAGCGGCCCTCGCCAGGGGCGGCCGAGGAGGGGGGCACCCAAGAGGAGAGCGACGGGCCCGTTTTCCACCACCACCGCCACCATAAGTTGGAGGGGGGAAGGACGAGGAGGAGGAGGACGAAGAGGAGGAGGAGGAGGAGGAGGAGGTGGAGGAGGAGGTACAGGAGGAGGAGGAGGAGGAGGAGGAGGAGGAGGAGGAGGAGGACCCCCTCCCCCTCCAACTTATGGTGGTGGTGGTGGAAAACAGGCCCGTCAGTGGGGGGCGCAAGTCATGGCCGGCGGCACGTGCGCGGCCCGGGGGAGGCGGGCAGGGACGCAACGAGACACGAAGGGGCGTCATGGAATCTGATGAAATGTCATGGCCCGCGCCATGATAGGCACCACCACCCCAATCATCACCCCCCCCCTCTGGCCGCCCCCGACCTCGAAGGGCTCCCCGCCGCCGCCGGGCTCTCGTCGGGCAGGCGCTGCTGGATCGCCTGGAGCGTGCGCACCTGGAGCCTCGTCGCGCCGACCCCGAGCCACTGCATGACCGTGGCCGTGTGGATCTGGCATGCGGGCACCTGCGCGCGGCGACGGCGACGGCGGCGGCGACGGCGGCGGCGGCGGCGACAGCGACGGCGACGGCGACGGCGGCGACGACGACGACGACGACGGCGACGAGGACGACGGCGGCGCGCGGCGCGACGGCGGCAGTGACGGCGACGACGACGACGACGACGACGACGACGACGACGACGACGACGACGACGACGACGACGAGGCGCCCGCCACGGCGCGCGGCGGCGGCGCCTGCGCCTGCCGCCGCACCGGCGGCGTGCTGCTGTAGGACTGCTGCAGCAGCGCCGGGGCCGAGAAGTCCGGCCTCGCCGCGCCCCGGCGCCGCGCGCCTGCCGCCGCACCCGCCGCCGCACCTGCGGGGCGCGCGGGGGGGGCGCAGAGGAGCCTCGGGCCCCAGACGAACAGACTGCAGCGTAGAGTCGAGATCTAGAGCATGGACGGGCGGTGAGGACGCAAGGGCCGCGGGCGCCGAAGGTGGCACCCGTTGGGGGCGGCGGAGTGCCGACGCCCTGAAGGGCCTGCCAGGATGAGAGCCGCGAAGGACGGGCCGCAGAGGCAAGGACGCAAGGGCACCATGAGGACATCCGTGCGTCCTCACTGCGTGTTCTGACTGTACGGTTACCAGGCAGTTGAGCTAGAAGTCGCCCGCCACGATGCTTATACTAGAGTATGTTTCAGGCCGCGCGGCGCCCCTGCGGGAGCGACGCACACATAGCACATCTGAGTCCGACCGAGAGCAGGAGAGCGTGCCGTCTCCTCAGCGGCTACTGTCCAGATGTACGGGGCGGCCCTGGGTTCTGAGGGACGTAACCGTTCAGATCGCCCAGAAGCCTTGGGGATAGAGGCTGAGAAGGAGGTGGACCACAATAACCCCTGGACACATCAACAATGCTGCAATACACCCTCCCGTCACAAGTCGCCTCCTCATGAAACCCTGCAGGTATATCTGTTCACTATGGAGAACGCCCCTTCGAGAACAATCGCAACGTGGGCCTGCCATTGAGGCCAGAGCCCCGCTTTGGAAAACACCTGCCCCCGAGATTAATTGATGAGGGCCTGCCCTCAATGCGTGCAACTTGTCACATCGCAAGGTATGGGTCATGAGTATCGAACATCTGTAGCGAGAGCTCCACTATTGGAAAAGAAACCGCCCTCCGTGGGAAGCGCGAAAAGCGGTTGCAACGCGTGCAACGTCCATGGCGTCCGCTTCAAAACATGAAGCGGCAATCGTAAATGCCGAGAGAAAGGACGGACCCCCATCCGCACGACTGCCGAAGGCTTTCAGAACGAACGTACAAGGCGCTGAGGCGAGAGCTAAAGACGAACGTGCACGGCGGAGAAGGAGGAGGTGGAGGAGGAGAAACAGGAGGAGGATGAACGCGCACGGCGCTGAGGACGAACGTGCACGTGCATTCTGAAAAGAAGGCGACAGCAACATGCTGAACATAACCACAGCCAATAAGGGTTCCAAGAAGCCCCCAAGAGGCTCAAAGCCCCCCTCAAGAGGCCTCCTCCTACGACAGCCCCAGGAGGGCCTCAAGACGGCCCCAAAAGGCCCGCAAGCGAACCCGAGCACCACCAGGAGCGCTCCCCGGAGGAGGGGCGGCCTTGGCCCGAGGCCACTACAAGAACCTCAGCTCCACCAGTCTAGCTGTTGCAAGCGGCAAGGCGCACGCGAGCGGAGCTGAGCACCCTGAAACCGTCCGCCCTCCCTCCGCGTGCTGAAAAAACGGGTCGTCGAGGGAGGGGCGCTGAGGCGAGAGGCGCACAGCCAAGAGGGCCGTCCCTCGAGCACGCGTTAGTGGCTGTTGGATGACTGCTGCACGCTGAATGGATGGGCTCAGCACTTGGGGGGGGAAACGGAGGGCAGAAAATCCACCCCCGTAATAACCACCCCGACACGCGAAGCCATTTACTACTAAACGCCCCCACTGAAGGAATCGAGCAGGGCAGGGCTGCTTAGTCAACGCCCAGGGCCGTTTAGCAAACGCCAATTGCCCTGTCTGGGTAGTGTTTCCTCCCTTGATCGGGGAGACGTAAGACTCGGGTACGGGGGACGCGGGTTGGCCTGACGGGGTCCATCATAAAAACGACGAGACGCAATCTGAAATCTGACGCGAGCTCCCACTGCAAACACCCCACGAAAACTGGACCGTCAAAATCCAGGACGCTCTCGTCAAAAAACGTCGGCAAACCCGAGTTCCGGCTTACCCGAGTCTTACGTTCCCCCGACTTGAGAATGGATGGGCTCCGCACTTGCGGGGGGAAAGACTCGGGCGGAGCGTGGGGCCCGCTCCGCGCGCACGCCGGATTGGTGCGACGCGCTCCAGGTGAAGGGCACGTACGGAGGAGGAGGGGGTAGGGGGAGGAGAGGGAGGCGGGGGAAAGGGTAGGGAGGAGAGGAGAGGGAGGAGGAGGTAGGAGGAGGTAGGGGAAGGAGAGGGAGGCGGGGGAAAGGATAGGGAGGAGAGGAGAGGGAGGAGGAGGTAGGAGGGGGTAGGGGGAGGAGAGGAGAGGGAGGAGGAGGGGGTTACTGCAGGGGGAGGAGAGGAGAAGAAGGAGGACGAGGGGGAGGGGAAAGGAGACCAAGGGGAGAGAAGGGGAAGAGCAGAGAGCGTTGACGAAGAGCCCCCGCGGCCACGGGTGGATCTAGACTGAAATCCTGGGTCGGGACGCGCCCACGGAGAGGTCCAGGACGTCCAATCGCAGGAGCGAGGACGGAGGCTGGCAGAACTCGACCCACCACCCTTCCAGACGTACGTGCACACGGCTGGATCCTGATGAGCCGACGTGAGCGTCGATTCCTCACACAGCGGAGATCGCAAGAGAGCATCCTGGTTCAGGGGTTCAGGCCGCCGGCAGCATTCAGCCTTGAGCGCCCGCGCCAGCGCCGCCACCGCGTCGACGTGGCGCGAGCCTGCCGTAGACAGCCATTCACTTACAAGTGCACCACCTTCAACCGCTCGGTACCAGGCCACCACCTGCCACTACTACGTATACCTCACACGGCGTCTCGCGCATGCCGAATAGCTCTCGGCTCGCACGAGGAGTTCTGACGGGCGCGCGGGGTTCGCAGGCTATGGCAACATGTCAGAGGCAAGAGGAGTGGGGCGAGGTAGAAGCGAAGGCAGAAAATAAAAGAAGAAAAGGAGAAGAAGGGGCAACAGAAGCGAGAAGAAGGAACATGAAGAAGAAAGAAAGAGAAGAAGAAGAACGAAGAAGAAGACACGCAGAAGTAGCAGCAGACGAAGACGAAAGAAGAAGGACGAAGCGGAAAGACCGCAAGAGGAAGCAGGTGGAAAGAAGAAGACTAGAAGAAGAAAGAAGAAGGATGGAAGCAAGAAGCAAGACGAAGAAGAAAGAAGCAAGATGCAGCGCAGAAGAAGAAGAAGAAGACCGAAGAGACAGCAAAGAACGTATGCAGACGCAAGACCCCTTGTCCTTCGTTCTCGTCCTCAGTCAGCCGTTTACCTGCAGGAATCGGCCGCCGGGACTCAGGCAAGCGTCCTCTGTCCATAACGTCCGCAATGCTGTGTACCGACTAAGCAGACCCTCCTCTTCCTCCTCCTCTTCCTCCTCCTCCTCCTCCTCCTCCTCCCTCATCCTCCTCTCCTCCTCCTCCTCCTCCTCCTCCTCCTCATTACCTCCGTCTCCCTCCGTCCTCCGTCTCCTCACTCCCCTCCTCCTCCTCCTCCTCCTCCTCCTCCTCCTCTCCTCCTCCTCCTCATCCTCTTCGCTCCTCCTCCTCCTCCTCTCCTCCTCCTCCTCCTCCATTCCCGCCCTCCTCCTCCTCTCCTCCTCATCCTCCTCCTTCCTCCTCATCTCCTCCTACTCCTCCTCCTCCTCCACCTCCACCTCCACCTCCACCTCTCATCCTCCTTCCTTCCTCCTCCTCCTCCTCCTCCTCCTCCTCCTCCTCCTCCTCCTCCTCCTCCTCCCCAGCCCAGGGCTTTTCTGGCGCCGCGGGCGACGCGAGCCGGGCCCGAGATCTTTGCCGCTCTGCCTTCCAAGCGTCAATGCGAGCCTTCAGGTCCGGCTCCGGCACGAGGCTCTCGGGCGTCAGGGGTGAGCGCGTGTACGGGTCCTCAGGTGGCAAGAGGCTCGGGGGGGGGCTGCACACAGACTGAGTACCGTTTCACCGGTCCCCATCCCCAGCGGCGTGGCCTGGGCCCCACTGGCCGATTTACCCCCTAGGTGGGGATATAGGTCGTTCCCTTCGGGTTTCGAGGGGTGTATCCCCAACTGGGGTGGTAATTTGGTGGGGTCTCGAAGGGGATGGAGATGGGGATGGGGATCGGTTGACCGATACCGACAGACGGCTCCCCAGGAGCTCCCGGACCCTGCTCAGCCGAGCTCCGGCTTTGCAGGAGCCTGCAGGACGCGGAGTTCGGGCGGAGCCCCATTTGCGCTGGGCCCCACCGCGTGCGCCCCGACTGAGGTGCCCTCGGGGTGGCCGCCCGAGCTTGAACCTCCAGGGGCTTCCGGGGACCTCGCAGGGGGCCGCCAGGGGGCCTCTCAAGACGTCGGAGGACCTCCAGAGATCTCGGTGACGCGGAGGCCAGGGCCGGCGGCGCGCAGCGGCCATCCAGGAATGCGGGGGGGGGTGGTTCCCAGACATGATCGCGTCGTCGAAAAAGGTCAGGACAGAAGAGAGTGGGCGTCGTTTCACGAGGGAGGGCCTTTAGGTCCCAGGACAGGCCCCTAAAGGCCCCCTTATGGGCCCTTCGGGGGCCCTGCAGAGCCCAGTAGCCCCTTTTCTGCAGCCCTCGCTGCCCTCACATGTATCGCCCTCCCATTACTCGGGACTTCGGGGGATCTCGCATTGAAAAAATCAGGACGTCGCATGTCTGGACCTCCTGTCACTGAGAACGCCTCATGCACCCACCCCCGCCTCGAGCGGCGCCCCCCGCGGCGCTCTGCGACTCCGCAGATAGTTAGGGTGCTGAGGCCGCCGCCGACTTACCCTGGAGGCCTGTTGAGGGCAGCGGGAGCCACCTCCGGAGGGATGTCTGTGCGGAGCACTGTGCATTGCCGGGGTCCTCCGGCGTGGCGAGCAGGTGGCGGACTATGTGCCTGCGATCCACAACCACGCCGCTGGCTGGCATGCGGACGGGCTCCTCCATCAGCTCGAAGAGCATCCCGTCCAGGAACTCCTCTGGGGCGTCCTTGTACAGCTCCGCCTCCTCAGACGCGGCTTGCTGCTGCTGACACACCAGAGCCACAAACGCCTTGAAGTCCTCCATATCTTCCTTCGAGACGATGGAGCTGGAGCCCTCACGGCTGAGGATTCGCAGGGTCTTCTGGAACACCTCTGGCCTAAAGAATCGCTCCTCTGACGCCACGCGCGTTGCGAAGTC